TTGAATTGTTATCAGTAGTTATAATATCATGGAGCAGATACGCCATTGATGATATCTGCTTTTACTTAATATAATGCTAACGCTAGTATATCCTCGTAACTCTTTAGCCACCCACTATATAAGGAATGAACATTAATCTCTCTCTCTCTAATGAAAATAGAGATGTTATTAAAAAAATAAGATGAGATTATACTTAAATTTCAATATCATGACACTATAATCTAAAACTGAAGCATACCTACAACATCAGATATTGACTTAAAATGGATACTGATTGATATACACTTTAGTTTGATATACTGTATAACATATTTATTAAAAAATCATGATTTTCTTATTTAAAATTAAAGGCAAACAAATTTAAAAATGTAACCATATATATAAGATACACAAACCAATTGAATCGATTGTACTTATATTATATTTTAATAATTAAATTGAAGCAAGTGTCAAAAAAAATGTTAAACTAAGTGTGTACCAATCATTTTTAAACTTAAAACTATACTCATGGCAAATCTAAATAATTAAATACTATGATTTTTTGAGAACTAGAGATTATATAATAATCATTGTATGTACCAATAGGGTTTTAGGGTAGAAAGAAAGTTGCTATGACTCATAAACTATTGGATATAACAAGGTTGCATAATAATCATTGTATGGACCCCTTTTTTTTGGGTAAGCTAAATGGACCTAACAGGAATATTGGCCTTTCACTAGCTCTAGTTACTTAATTTGGAATGAATTTAGAGATAAGTACTCTACTATGGTATTTGAGTCTTACAGTAAACTTGTTGCATCTAGAATAAAGAAAGAAAGAAAGAACGTTTGTATATTGCAAATGTTATGAAAAGTTGCTTGTACTTTGTACTATATATCTATTGCACTATTTTCTCATTTAAAACAGAGACGTTGGGGGTATTAACTGGTTTAGTTTGGATAAGTTATTTAATTGGGTAATGATATGTTTACCCAATTTTTCGACACACTACAATTATACCTAACCCTTTCCATTAATTACACTTAACTTCATTACCATCCTCTTCATCCATTATCTTCTTTCTCTTTCTTTTCTTCTCTTTTTTTTCCTCTCTCTCCTCCATCATTGGGTTCCAAGAGAACCTAGATCAGGGAGAACCCAAAACCCCGACCTGGGTTCTCTTGGATCTCGATGATGGAGGAGAGAGAGAGGAAAAAAAAGAGAAGAAGAAAGAAAGAGGAAGAAGATAATGGATGAAGAGGATGGTAACGAACTTAAGTGTAATTAATGGAAAAAATAACGGAAATGATTGGGTGTAACTGGAGTGTGTCGAAAAATTGGGTAAACGTATCATTACCCTATTTAATTTGTTTGCTCATGAATATATTCTGATTAGCATTAAAAACTGGGAAATTTATTTGGTTGGGAGGACTCTTCTTATCTATATGAAAATTCAATGTCTCTCATTAAATTATCTAACTTTTTAATAATGTCTTAAATTAAAAGAGACTTAATTGTTTAGTGGTAATCTCTATTAAATAAATGAACAATTCATTTGAGACTTAAATAATTGGACAGTAATTTCCATAACCAAAGCAACCTCAAATTTTAAGAAAGGAGCAAATGACGAAAGGAAGATGAGATCAGATATACAACTCATAAAGGATCCCTTTTTATCATAAATGGAATCATAAAAACATCAAAGAAATGTTGGGGAAATTTTCAAAATAGAGGAAAAGAAGCAATGGTTGGGAAAGGGCATAAATGAAAACGTGTTTTTTCATGTTAAAACTCTTTAAATGGAAGAAATATGTCTGCAAAGATGTGTCTTTTATCAACAAACACCTATAGCCTATAAAAGCCTTGTCTTCATCCTCTTAACATAGTGATTCCAATTTGGATAATATATACATCTGGCTGTTTTTCAATATAAAACAAGCATCTTTTGTGCAATGATTGCTGTACAAATTCTTGTATGAAAGTAATAGTTTTACTACTTGAAGAAGTGAGATTTAGTGGTTGGTTTTGTCAGTGCAAGGCGTAATCAATAGGTTGACGAAACCAATAGGTTTCATTGTACCTTACAAGCATTTTCGGTTAACCCCTTTGCATGTCAAAATAGTGGGGCCGAAATAGGCTAAAGAAAAATAGCAGTTGCAACACACCTTGAAACCAATGATTTGTTTTCTAACCACGAAGTTCCAACAAGAAAAAAAGTAGATGAGATATATAGCGTTTTTTCTCCTCTCCTTGGGAGCCCTCCTCTTCTTTTCTTCCTTC